AAGTTTGGCAAAAACACTGCTAATAGTGACAGACGTAGTGGAAATGTTAAAAGAAGAAAAAAAGGGCATACGCAGTAGATGTTACACTGAAAGTGAAAAGTGCATTGCACAATTCATCCAGCGATCGTAATAAAACAGCATTACTAAAAGGGGAAAACTTCAAATTTGAAATCAGTACGAATGCACTATTTTTATGAAGCAAAGAGCTAATTACCACCTGAGGGGTGGATCGAAAGCGGGATTCACCTGACGGCCTGTTTCGGCCATGCTGTTTCTGTGATTTTGGTGTTTTGGCCAAAAACTGAAATAGCAGTTTTGGGTCATTTTCATCCGAAAATGTTTGGTGGCTGAATTTTTGGTGCATCCCTAATAATGGAAACTTTTTGCAAACGACTGTCAATTCAAAGAGGTAGAGCAGGTTGCCTCATGAACATTGACTGTGGGATTGATTCCATCTCCCGCCAAGAGTATTCTGCTGTTGGGTCCTTGGGCAAGACACTTTACCCAACTTGCATGTGTTGCATGACAGCCTTTCCTCTGTCAGACCACCCCAGCGTGGCTGTGGCTACACTTTAGCTTACCATCACTGGTAGTGCAGGAATTTGAGAGTGCATGAATAATGGAAAACACTTTGAGTGCCCATTAAAGCGCTACATAAACCCAATCCATTATTGTCATTATTAGAATAGTGACAAAAAAACTACAACCATGGGGGTGATTTGCAAGTTTGTGGCCTTCCAGTGTGATCGACTCTGCGACAGCTTAATGAGTACTCTCACAACCAAAGACAGCCTTAGTCTTCACGCACTGCTTAAAAACCTATGACGCCCTCCTGCAATCGACCAATGAAAACATACCCCAGGGAGTGATGCAACTAGTGACGCGAGTACAGTACGAAAGTAGAATTAACAAAATTAGCAACAGTGGAAGCTACACTCAGGAACATGTGGACCACTCCTTTCTGGAGTTTGGTTCAGAGGTTAATAAACTAATTGTTAACAGGGGTGTTTTCTTCTCTTTTCAGCATTGTTGCTTTGGCTACCTGTCAACTTTTAGTGACATATGCTTTTCTGGGTGCGCTCGTGATGTTAGCGCGTCCTGCTAGAGCGAGATGTCATGAAGTTTGTCTCACGAAGACGTTAGACTGTGCAGTGTGCTACTTGTCTAGAGTTCTCACAGTGTGACGTGAGCAGTCCTGTGTGACGGCAGAGAATTGCAGTGTGGTCTGGGCTTTAGGCTCCACCTGACCACTTTTTAAAAATGTTTAATTTTTTCTTATTTTTCATGTCGTGATCGCTCCGCAACTCCAGAGCTCACCGCTGCAACAATGCGGTGCCGCTCAAAGAGACTAAAGCATTTTTTCTACGCCTATGTCACGTCCCAGAGCCTGGATTTCCATCTTGGTTGTCATGGTTACCTGTGAAATGTCGCAGATAAGCAGGCTTATTTATCTTAACAATATTCAGAACATAGTTTGCATTGTCCACATATAGAGGAGGGGTGTGATAAAAAAACCACCTGAGCACATTTCTAGGACAGGTGTGATTTAAAAAGCAGAAACTGCTCACAGCTGTGTATAAACCGTGTTTTATAGGATGTAAAATTAGTTTGCGCAAATTTTATTTCTGAACTTAAGTAGAATTTTAGTAAAGATTCTACACAAAGTTTTATAAATGAGGTTGTCGAATGTTTAGAGCAAAGACCCGCAAGTATGTTCCTCCTCAAAACTTTCACTGAAACAAGGTGGAATTTAACATGTAGTAGGACTGAACAAGATCTACAAATCTTTCATATAACAATAATTTCAAACAAGACACAAGAAGACCCAGAAACATTTATATCAATATAAACAGAACCAGTGAAATTCTAGAGTTAGCAGGTGTCGCTACTGTTAGATTGCTACTTCTCCTATAAGTGGTCATCACTTGAATTGATGGCAAAAATGACAGAAAAGTTATTTAAGTATGGCATTAAAGTCACTGTTTATCATGATCCAACTTTTTTTAACCAACATTTCCAACAAAAATCAGCTTTTAATGGCAACCCCTGGTTTAAAAACCCCCTTTTGTGATTCATTATGTGCTCCTTCCACATCTATTCTTCTGCACTTTGTACAAAACACAAATAAGCAAGCATTATAAATTATGCAACTTAGGAGAATAAAAGAGTTTTAAATTATAAATATTGAAAGAGTTCATGTTAGTGACTGTGTGATGTAGGGAGTATATCTGTTTGCATGAGACGCAGTCTGATAACTGATCACAAGTGGTCAGTTGACAAAGAAAGGGATGAATTGTAAAGTTGGGTGTGAAAAATCATCGATCGCTTTCAAACTGGAAGTCCTCTGAACCTCCCGAAGAGACGTTGCCTGGAACATCCACCACATAGAAGCAGCCTGACGAGTCACCATAATGCTACATCATTTAATTTTCAGAGAAAAGCTGTCTCTCTGAAGCAAAGTAGAACCAACAAAACCAGCTAGCTGGGTAACAAGTGACCCTAGATTCTGCAGTGTGACACACTCTCAAAAGGTAAAGTAAAAAAAAAAATAAAAGGAAACTGCAAGTGGCGTTTCTTACAAAGCACGACGATGTTCCTGCAGTACAAACGATGTATGGTAATACCAATACTGAATAAATACACTCTAAACACTGAAGAGGAGGTGCTTTGTTTGCTTTGCAAATGTGTTCTTGACCTACCTCATTTCCTATAGTTGCTTTTACCGTTTCGCCTGCTGAGCGGGGTCTTTCAGACCACAGATTCTGAGACCTAAACTAATACTCAGGAATCAATGTGACAATCAGTAAGTAAATCGTACCACTATACCACTAAAAATCGGGCCCATTTTGGTTAAGTATCATCCCATAACCAACACAAGATTTCACAGCTAAGACCTAACCTGAAAGAAACTTGCAGCATTTAGAAACGATGGCAAAAGCTGCCTTGTTCCCTGTTAGCATCTATAATTAATGGACTGGTGCTGCTGGTCCATGTTCCGTTTTTAAACTAACCCCCAGTAAGCCTCGTGTCCATTAAAGCCCTACAACAGTCAACACCCTGGAGGATGAATATGGCTGAGTGCAGCTCTCAGTCAGAGACCATCAATGCCTCAGCTGGAAAAATAGTGAGCAGCTGAAGAAAGGATTATTTTGATCTCAGTCAATTAATGATTTACTTGTTTATTTCCTTTACATTTAGAGGAATAATTGCTCTCAGTAATTGGGAGTTGGGGTCTGTAATAGGTCCTGTATTTAGGAATTGATTTCATTATTGACAAGTTGTCCTCAGCTGGTAAAAAAAATGTGTTTGCATGGTCAATTTTTGACAGGGTGCACTTGTATGATATGGATGTCACTCATGACACCAGACATGTTCAAAGTGTGTCTCATGAGCCATTTGTGGCCCTCGGAGGGATTGTATAATGATGAATTTCGATCTCTCCATCGAGTTGTTGATGTTGTCAGACTTTCAATTCAATTCAGTTCAAAGATACTTTATTAATCCTAGAGGGAAATTATTTTCATGTTCAGATTGCCACTAATATGCCTATTTTGGACTTATTTTGGAGACCACACACGGGGAAAAGAATATCCAAAAAATTATTTTAGCATTTTATACAAAAATAAACATTTTTCCTTGCCTGTGAGGACTATTCATTTACAGATGTTGGCCCTTGTCTGTCTTTTGGACACCCCTGGTCTACACTGATCATAATAAGCCCTCATTTGGACTGAGATGTTTTATCGTGCTAAATAAAAGTGATTTTCATAAACCAGTAGAACTTTGGTTTATTTAGCTGATCTGTGGCAATGAGCAGGAGGAGAAAAAGGACAAAGGTAGCTAAAATGTGTCTGAGCTGTTTTCATGTAAATCACAACCATACTCTTCCCCTATCCTGCACAATCACTGTGCACTTCCTACTATGCTTGCACTCTTTTTCTACACCGTCATACCTGCCACTTCTGACAGAACCTGACTAGTGTTCTTCCCTCTAAGTAGCTTAATGTTAGCCTCAATTGTAACTGCACTGCTACATCCTCATTCGTAAGTCTCTTCGGACAAAAGCATCTGCCAAATACATAAACATCTGTTCCCAGAACATAGCCAAACCTCGATACCCATTTGCAGCGTAATCACTGTTCTTGAAACCAGGCAATGGGAGAAAAAACATATGGGAAATATTTGGTTGGCCTAGACTCTAGGACAGACGCAAATGCAATCCCTCTTCATGAAAATGTTTTAAAACATGATGTGCTGAAAAGGGTTAGGGTAATGAGTGATAAGAACTAAAATAGCATGCATGATTGTCTCAGTGTGTCTGGGCTGACCAGATGAGTGAACCATAAGGTGAAAACATTACCAAAGAAAAAGAGATGAGTGAGTTACTATTTAAAAAAAACTGGGGTGACTCCATGGCCCAAACACATAAAGAGTGACAACAAAAGAGTAGACAAGGTGATCAAACACATTGATGAATTAATAAGGAGGATGCAGGACATGTGATATTACACAACTGCATGTGACTAGACAGCTTATCATGCAAGGAATGCCTTGCCGGGATGAGATCACTTAGCCTCATCAATCTACTACTCATGATGTTACCTTTGCTTTGCTGAAACCGAGTCTTATGGAAAAAATGCACAAGTCAACTGTGATCATTCAAAGGATTTAAATAAAATAGCTGAAAATCGAGGCCAGGAAAAATCTGTCAGTGGCTCTAGACATACTGTTAAATATTGTAATCACGGTCGAAAGGCCTAGTAGCACCGGCTAGATTATAGCAGCCATGCTCATCATCTGTCCTATTATTATCATGGCCAGGTAAATGGATATTATAGGATCAGCATCCAGCTGAGTCTCATCATCGACTGGGTGATACCAAGGCTGCGAAGAGGCGCATGGTCGAGCTGTCACACATGACCTAACGGCCCAGCCAAACAACCACTCCATCCTCAGATCGGCAAAATCAGGAACAAAATCACCCCTTTCATTTCACTTACCGATTCCGGGGGCGGAGTAGATGAAATACAGTGCCGAGGTGGACAGTGAAAAAAGGAATAAAAGCCCAAGGAATGACCTTCTCCGGAAACGCAAATGTGTCGGCATCATACAAGCAGCGAAAGCACACACAGCGGCACGTTTTTGCTTTTCTTCACCGATGGTAGACCAGTCCCGATGTGTCCAGATGCCTGAGCCAGCAGTCCGCGGACGGCCCTGGGTTAAATGAATCGAATGGAGTGGTAGGTCTGCGGCAGTGGCTACAAGGAAGTCAGTCTATTTCCGCGGCAGGTCGGGAAAAAAAAAGGATGAGACCGCCAGTGTTCAACCGAGACACTCGAATTCCATTCCTGAGGAGATGGTTTCGGCTTTACTGTGGGGTATGGTCCGATGGCTGACAAAGACAGCGCGGTTTAAAGTGGCCTTGTTCTCAGCGTGAGACCATCCTTTAGGTTCCACACAACGTCGCTGATAGTGTCCCTAACGCTCTTGCACTTTGCCTGCCTACCCGCCTGCCCAACCCTATGAATGGAGCCGTCTCTCTGCAGAGAAGAAGGGGAAAAAAAGAGCAGTACCTCAAGTGGGCGTTAACGGTAGCTCCTACTCAACAAACACGGACGTACGTTCTCAGCGTAGAATACGCATCCTGGCGCGCGCTCAAACGCTCCAACGTAGAGCATCGCCGATAGCCGTCGCTACGCTGTCATTACGTTATGGCATATGGCCTGAACAATAGCTACCTCAAATACATAAATAAATAAACGTAACTTAGCCTAAGTATCACATGACAAAAAGGGACTATAATGTCGGACTAAGCCATACAATTTACAGGAACAGGTTGGAAGCAATTAAACAAAAATATATTTTACTTGTTTTATTGCTCTTACTTATTAAAATTATTTATGTTGCAAAAGGGCAGCCTCATCTTGGGCAACTGTTTTTGAGTAATCTCTTAGCCTACATAATAAAAATGTAATTAAATTTTGCATTTGTAAGTTATAAAAAACTGCATTGATTGACAGAATATGATGTTTCTTGTAGGCTAAGTTTTGACATTCAGTGTACTTTTTTTATTATAAAAGGTGCACCTCAGCAGCTTCACATATTTCATGACACGTGGTTAGCTTATCTGTATTTGTTTTATTTTTTTACTTAATTTATTTGCTTTCATGTTGTAGCCTACTGCTACTAATCTTAATTGGGCTCACTGTTGTAGTCATTTTACAGTTCTGTGTGATTATTTTGTTTTTCTAAACAGCAGCCAATTTACACGTGTTTAGTTTTTAATATTTTTACTGTGTTTACATTTTAAACAAAACAATACAGCACATTTAAAATTCAGCTTTTTTCGTTTTGAAGTTAGATAAAATTAGCATATGAGCGTTTAGATACATTTTCGAAACAATAAAAATTTCACTTTTTTTTATTTCTTTGCTAGAAACGCGCTGAGATGATGGATATCGGGAGCGGAAGGTTGACGCTGCATTATACCAGTGGCTGATGGGAAATTGAGTCAATGAAAACAATATTGCAGTGTGCATTTAACAAATGCTGTCAAGACAAACCAAAGAAAAACTACTAGATGTATACGAATATTTAGTTGAACCGAACTATCACAAAACATTTATATTTGTGTAAATTGTCCACTGAATTCATAGGTGAATCGCATTTAAGGACTACAACTCCCAAAACACCGTTACCAGGAAGTGAAGTCGTGATGTCAACAAAGTCGCAGCCAGATGCTTTTGGGGCAGCCGAGATGAAGCTGTGTGTCTGTTTTTGTACAGTATAACCAGGTTTAAAGTTAACGATTTGAAAATGACAGGCGTTAGCTTTAAACCCTTTGTGTTGTTCTTGTTTTTTGTGAATGTGTGCGTGTCAGAGCGAGTTCAGGGAGCAAACTCTTTAGACTTGCACAAGAGAGATGTAATTGACGAAGGGGACGAGCAGAAAAGGATTATTGCTCTTGGGAAAACGCAGACGTCTAAAACGAATGACAAAGCTGGTGAAGTCGGTTCAGACGACCCTCAAACGGAAGGACAACTCGCCAGGTCAGAGTTCACCTGTCTTCTGCTCTCTAGAGAAACCTAGCTTCCAAGCTGCAACTAGGCGCACCCGTTCTACAGGTTTTCTTCCAACTGGTCATCTTATTTTCATGTAGAACATTAGGCATTTTATCATAGTCAATGGTGCATTATTAAGTTATTTTAGTCATTTTTTTATGTTGAATATATTGCTAATGGAGTTCTATATGTATGTGTTATGAAAATCTGTCTTTTAAACCATTGATAATTTCCAGGTATAATGAGATTTTGTGATAATATTGATCTCTCATCTCCTTTTATTTGCTCAGTTTTGCATCACTAAGCGGTTTAGACTAAATATGATGCCAATTCGAATTTAGTTAAAGTTCCATTAGTCATCATCACACACTGGTGAAATTACATCTCTGCATGTGACCCATCCCCATGGGGAGCGTTGAGCTGCAGTAGTGGCTGCGCTCAGGAACTATTTGGTGGTTTAATCCCCCAATCAAACCCAAAAAGCTGAGTGTCACGCAGGGAGGCATTGGGTCCCATTTTTAAAGTTTTTGGTTTAACCATCTCAGTGGCCTAGTGGTAGTGCCCGCCCTGGGACTGGGAGATGGGGTTAGACTCTCGGTTGGGTCACACCAAAGACTTTAAAAATGGGACCCAATGCCTCCCTGCTTGACACTCTACTTCAAGGGGTTGGAACGGGGGGTTAAACCACCAAATAGTTCCCGAGCGCAGCCACCGCTCACCGCTCCCCTCCATGGGGATGGGTCGAATGCAGAAATGAATTTCACCAGTGTGTGATGATGACTATGGGACTTTACCTTTAACTTTATGACCTGACCAGGATTTGAACCTTCATCCCCAGTCCCAGGGCAGACACTACCACTAGGCCACTGAACACACTGGATTTCAATTTGTGCCTATGCCATGCCCCAACACATCCTTACTTCTGTCTTCTTGTAGCAAGTCAAATGACACGTCTGAAAGCAACAGCAATGAAACTTCTCATCTTTCTACAACTACTGCCAAACCAACTACGGCGCCACCCCCAACACCAAAGCCCATTCTGCCTGTGCAGACAGGGGTGAAGGCCCAGGAAGAGGAGCAGTCCAGTGGGATGACTATTTTCTTCAGCCTGCTAGTTATTGGTTGGTGCTTTTTCACCTTCACACTATGAATATCTCTTCTTTCTGATATCATTTACCACTTGGTGACATTTGCTCCTTATTTTCAAGGTTGTTTACTGAAGGGAATATAAGAAACATTTGAATCAAAGCCACCCTAAATCATTTATCATACTGCTTTTATTCTAAAGAACTTTTTTATTAGATTTGCTGCATTTCCACTGAGGTCAACTCCTTGTAAATGTTATCTAAATGTTTTGGTATGTTTTCATTTGTGACATTAAACACAACCACTCCTAAAGATTTCACTTTTCTAAAAGATTAGTAAACTGATTGAACGCCTCCTCCCAGCATTTCCCCCAGCAACAAACAAGGGCCATTCTGTTTCATTTTGCTTTTGAGCTGACAGTTTTGCAGCCTCCTTGCGGACAGACACACATTCACAGAGACACATTTTTTCCCTTCACATTTCTATTGAATTTAGGAAATGTTTGTGTGCACCTTGGAACAAAAACACTGATAAACAATCTAAGTAGGTCCGATTTGACTGTTTTCTTAATCGGATCAAAGCTTATGAGTCGTTCAGTGCTAGAGGTGCTGTAGTTTGCTATGTGCTCTTTGTCCCCTTAGGGCTGATTTAAGCCACATGAGTTTTGGGTTTGCAAATAATAAGAATTAGTCCTGTATTACATCTTGAAAGAAACATATCTTATAAGCTGAAGTTGAGATTAAACTAAGGTGAACAAGACACCATGGATGCACGCCCTCCAAATTGGAGCTGGTTTTGGATATTTGATTTCTCCTCCAGCACTTTTTTGAGTCCTTGCTTTGACGTGGAAGGGATTTAGGGAAGAGCCTCTTAAAAAGGCCAAGTTTCCTGGACTTACGTTTCTGCAGTTAGAACACAGCCAAAGACCCATCATGGATAGGATGGAGGATGTAAATAATGACACAACAAAAGAGAAGCTCACTGTGGTCCAAATTCTATTCGTTTTTGTTATATAGCGCCAAATCACGCCGAGTTGTCTCAAGACACTTCACACAGTAAACATCCCAATACAGTTCGATTCATTAAGCCGATCAGTAAAAAGTTTTTTATATAAGGAACCCAGTAGACTGCATCGAGTTACTGACTAGTGTCAGAGTCTTTACAGCAATCCTCATACTAAGCAAGCATGCAGCGACAGTAGAGAGGAAAACTCCCCTTTAACAGGAAGAAACCTCCAGAGGATCCTGGCTCAGTGTAAGCAGCCATCCTCCACGACTCACTGGGGATCAAGAAGACAGAGCAGACACATCTACACAACATATCTACCAAGTAGTAATTCTATGGTTACATTGTGATTTCTTAGTTAATATTCTATTTAGCAAGAGATAAACTTTATTGTATTTATCCTAGTGAATCTATAATTAATTCAACAGGTAAACTAGTAGTAGCACATTCAATGTCATAGAAAGTAAAATGTTATTATCAGGAGAGGGAGAAAGTTTAAGTGGTTACTAGCAGTGTTCAAGCTGATGCCTCCATGAGGCCACCACAGCTCAGCAGAACGCCATTGTAGCTGCTTCTGGGGAGAAAAACACTTAGAGAAAAAATAAAGTTAACAGCTGAAATAGCAGGAAATAAGGCAGTTAAAGAGCAGATTGTAGAAGAAAGTAGTAAGAGTGTGGAAAGTGGTCAGTATGTCCTCCAGCAGTTTAAGCCTATAGCAGCATAACTACAGAGATAACTCTGGATAACCTAGCCTTTTAGATGGAGGCATGTTGGAAGCAGGGCAAGGGAGAGCCGTCTTTACCGACCATATTCTCCACTGTACAAACAAACACTTTTCTGTTTCTTGTGACGAATCAGTGATGGATGATAAGGAACAGGATGTGGTTTCATGCTCTTCTCATGTGAGACTTGTTTAGACACATGGAGCCAAAAAGCTAGTAAGCAGAAGAAGAGATATTTCTATTTTGAGGCTAATACTCATCAGTGGTCACGTGTCAATGCACAAGAAACCATTCAAGAGTGCAGTGCAGTGTAGAAACCACTCACATCCTTTAAAATTCACACTCGCACCATAAACAGTTTCTTTCTCGTTCTTTGGCCTCAGTGGAAAATCTCCTAAGAGAACAGTTCATACTTGATCAATTGGCCTGTTCTGATTTCTGAAGCACACCTTTTCTCTGTGTCAAATGTATTGAGAGCCATATTATCCCTTCATTCCTGTTATAAACTTTTAAATGTTTAGCACTATATGATGCAAGTATCTTGAGGCCTGATCTGAGCCGATATGACGTATTTCTGAAAAATATTTTTTTTCCCTAAATATTGATTCATTCATATTTTCCTCCTCACTCCCCCAGGTATTTGCATCATATTGGTGCACCTGCTTATCAAGTTCAAGCTGCATTTTCTTCCAGAGAGTGTGGCTGTTGTGTCACTGGGTGAGTGCTTCTCATGCAATACTGTGCTCAGATATGCCCTATAGTGATTACACAATTAACAGCACTTCAAGACAATTTAATTAAAAGCACAAATTGTTTTATAACTGCAAACTTATGCAACTTCCCTTTACTCAGTCTGTGCAAGGATCAGTGCACTGAGTTCAAGTCATTATGCCAATTAGTTTAATGTTTCCCATGTAAGGAAACCCTGCAGATTGCATTGAGTCACTGCCTTGTTGTGTCAGTGATGGTAATCCCCATACTAAGCAAGCATGCAGCGACAGTGGAGAGGAAAACTCCCCTTTAACAGGAAGAAACTTCCAACAGAACCTGGCTCAGTATGAGCAGTCATCTGCGATGACGCGCTGTGGGTTTGAGAAGATATCGTCGAACATGAAATGATGAAATCATAAAAATTAAATAATGAAATCGTTGTTTAGGATTTTTGTAAGAATACAATTTTTTACATGAAACAATTAATTAAACTGATATACATTATTTCAGATTTATTTGTATACTATATACGTATGATGAAAACTATGATGAAAACATTAACATGTACCTGTTAGGACAATGGCTGGCTATATTAATGGTATGTTATGGTATAAGTAGATAAAAACAAAATTATTTTGTGAAGATGAATGTGAAAGTTACCAATGTTGCCCTTACATTTTTTTTCCAGCCGGGGAAGGGGGGTGGGGGTAGGTGGGGAAGTGCACATTCTCGGACCGTTTTGGTGGTGCAGCACCACGCCTGAGCCTGTGTAGGGGAAACACTGGATACTGTAAACAGAGAGGGTTAACTCCAGTACAACGTTAATATCTTAGGCTGTTTTTAAAAAGTGTCATCATGAAGGGTATATTTATATTACAGTGTAAGTGCTGCTGGTGATACGGGTTATTTTTCTTTACTTCTTCTACATATACTAACTGATCAAAGCCTACTGGTTGTGCAGCGCACCAGGCTAAGGACCAAATCTGACAGATCATTTGCTGCTGTGGCCCCCAAACTCTGGACCTCTCTCCCCCTGAGCCTGAGATCAGTGGACTCAATGGTCTCCTTTAAACAGCAGCAGAAAACTCACTTGTTCAGGCTGGCTTTGGTGTGACCTTCTGTTGATTATTCCTCACAACTTTTTTTTCATGCTGCTTTCTCTACTAATTCTGCCTTTCTCTGGATCCAGTATCACCTCTTTCTGACTGTTGCTGTATTCCTTCTCATTTTTTGGTTTAAACTGATCAATTTCCCACTTTTTATGACATTTTAGAAGGAAAAAAATATATATATATATAATTTTTTTTATTTTTTTGTTCTTGTGAAGTGCCTCATGATATAAAAATTGCTTATTTTTCTTAATTTTCTAATTTTTTGGTAGAAATTATGATAACTTTTTATTTGTAATATGGATTATGGTTAAATATTGCAGCAAGATGCTGGACATTTAAAGAGATCTGCTGATCTACTGATTCTCCTATCGATAATTCTGTCTCTTGCATCCTGCATCTACATGCGTTCATCATCGGTGCAACTCACTGAACCACATCCATCGTGACCCTGAAGGCCTTTACTCTTTGTTGCAGCCAGCGTACCGCATATGAAACAGAGCATCTATCAGCCTTTGGTGGGTGGGAGACTCTGCTGTGGAGAAAAAACTCAGTTAACACTTTGAGAAGGGCCACACTTCCTTTGTCATCAGTTCGTCTTTCCCATTTGCTCATCGTTTGTTCGCTCTTTCTCACAATATCTGCACACGGCTTATCTTCAGTTTCTGTTTCTCTCATTGTTTTTCTTTCTCTGCCTTTTATTGTTTCCTTGTGTGCAGTGAGGCTCTAGCAAAAGAGCTGAAGGTCTTCCAAGACAAATTTAAGACCATATTGTTTCAAAAATGTCTTTCTTTTTTATTATTTACATTTATTTTATCCTGAAGTAAATTAAAAAAAAGTTTAATCACACATGTAACTCAAAACTTGGATGTAGTCATGCTTATATTCACTTGAAGTGATTCACATATGATTTAGTACTTTAGTTTGGTACTAAAGTTGAAGTTGGACCAAGAGGGAGGCAATGTCACTGCAGTCTTAGCCTAAAGATAAGACCCAAACCAAATAGATTGGGTTGACTCCCAACTCTGATTTGAAGGGTGAGATGGCCACTAAAGAATGTTGTAGCCAGGGAAATGGTGAGAATAAAGTTTATGACCTTCTAGGTTCCAGGAGGAGCCAGACTCTGACTTCACACCAGGACAGGAGTATAAATCTCCCCGAGTATACACCGGTAAATAAAGGATGATTGAATCCTAAAAGACGTGTGGTGACTCTCTTACCTCATTTGTGCAGATAATTCTAAGAACTGGAAAGGTGGGAAAATGGCTAAGGATAACAACTAATATTAGCAGTAATTAACTTAAGGTTACAAAAGTAACATTGTGAAGAAACAACCTCATTTAACTTGTGTTTTTTCCACAACAATCCCGAATGCTTTCATGAAACATGCTTGTCTTCTGGATTTTGATCTAATTTTATTACAATTACTCAAAAACTGGTTTTTGTGTTGAAATTTTCACGAAGAGATGTACACTTATTCTTTAGTGATAATGATCTTGTCTTCTCACTTTTTCCAGGCATTCTAATGGGAGGATTCATTAAGATTATTGAGTTCCAGGAGCTGGCCAACTGGAAGGTACGTTCCGACTCAATGTTTACATTCCTATTCACCACTCCTCGTATACAAAGCAGTGGATAAAAGCATACTATTTAATGTTTCTTTAGTTGTCATTTGAACTTTGAGTCATCACATGATGAAATAGCATTTCTGTCCAAGATAACATAAAAAGTCTCTGCAGTTTGGTCATTTGACACATTTCCTCCAAATCTCCCCATTTTGCGTCATTATTCAGTTACTCATCACTTGGTCACACATCACAACATCTCCTCTTCAAATTGGCCCACATCGTTGTCCTGCTATCACTTCCCTCTGTGTCACTGTGAGCTTTTCCTCTCCCCTTTGGTTCTTTTAGCATTTAATTAACATTCCTTGTTGTCAACCAGTTAGTAAGGGAACGGGCAAACAAGAGAACCAGAGGGACTGATTCAGCGTGAGTGGGGAGGGAGGAAAAGCGGGACAGGTTGTGTCAATGTTTCTTGCACACAGGGGCCCATTGTGTTTTAGCTTGTGGGGCCCCAGGCTGCTGCTGAGTCATCGACACAAGTAATCAGAGCCCCCGCAGCCCCTCTCCCTATGTTGTCCTGCCCTGTGAATCTCTAGAGCATGATAAGCAAACTGGCCTGTTCACCTATCTGCGTACAAAAGCCACGCAGGGCTTCCATGGCAGCTGATTGCTGTGTAGCTTCATTAAAAACCACTTCACTAAAGTGTTACACTCTGACATGAAGTCGACTCTTTACAGGAGCATCAATATGCTAAGTACTTAGAAGATTTTAATAGTCCTCAAAAAGCCCAGGTCATTATGCAAATCCATTATTTCTGACCTATTTGTTTTTGAGTAACACAACCAGAGGCAAAACTGTGATTCAGTTGGTAAATTGGTTTCTTGTTTTCACGTATGCACGCTCGGTGTGTTGGCATCACAGTAAACTAAAGGCATTAGGTCCCTCTTTTCAGGTGGGAGTTTATTTTTATTTTTATTTTTTTGCTTCTTTGATTTTGTAATACATCTTAGGAAAGTACATGATGCATGTAACTTCAAATCTTGTTTTCCTGCAACAAGAATGTTTCCGAAGCCAACAGCTTTATTCTATAGTTGCTAAAAATAGATTGTGAGATAATGTCACTTTGAATTGTGGGATGTAGCCCGAGACAAGCAAGCGCATACTTTACATGGGTGCCTATGGGTCTGAGTCGCTCCGCTCATCTCAAAGTTGTAGTTTTCTCCTCTAAATATGTTCAAATGGGAGAAAAGTAAGCACCGCTGTTGGGGGGTAGTGCTAATCAGACTCAATACTCAGATCAGATGTTGGAGGGGACATTTTTTATCCTTTTCCCAAAGTCGGGTGAGGTCTGCGTGGCAACAGCCGGGACCAAACTCAACAGTGTGATGCTAGGAGTACATGAAACAGCTGGAAAGGGAAGTTTTTATTTGGAAGAGCAGATTTTCACCAGGGTTTCCCCCCAGCGATTTATAAGCCTGGCAGGCCGCCAGGCTTTGCTTGCCCACCCGCCAGGCTAAGTGTCATGCCCCGCCCCCCTCCCTGACCCTACCGTGCCTGCTGACACGAACAGTGCAGCGAAACTAGAGCCCTCCATCAGCTGATACTGGTGAGAAACAGCAGCGGAACGTGTGCAACCACCCCACCCCCGCTCTCACAGAGAAGCGCTGCGGGATGGAGCGCGCGATCCCCCCCCCCCCCCCCGCCTGGCTTAAATCCAGGCTTAACTCCTTTTCTTAATCCTTACCAGGCTTAACTCATTTTCTGGGGGAAACCCTGCTCACATTGTGGCGCGCATACATTTATGTACATTTTGGAAAAGTTTCTACATCCAAGAATGAGCGGATACTAGCAACACTCTGATCGCTGAGTTATCCAGGAGGCAGCGGTGTAAACAAAGAGGTCCAGCTGAACGTCTCGGCCCAACAGCATCCGAATAGGGATGAATAAGGCTTGTTTGAGCATAAAAGTTATAATTTTGTTTCCGTCATTTTGTTTGTATCCACGTCCAAACACTCTGTCCGTGTTTTTTCAATTGGCAAATGGGGTTTGTTCGTCTAGCACACAGCAGCACTCGCACAGTGAAGTTAACTGTAAACTGTTGCACAAGCCTCCTTAAGAAGGTACAAACCATTTGTTTTTGCTGGTTTTTCCCACATTATTAGATTGATTTGCATTCTTGCTGTTGGCTAAATGTACGTAGAAGTTTGCCAATATTTAGGTACATGTGCAGACAGACACGATTTGCACTAGCATGAGTGGACACACACACACACACACACACACACACACACACACACACACACGATTTATGATGCACAGCTTTCAAATGAGTCCCACAAGTTGGTTAATTTCTGCCTACACCAGGTGTAGAAGCAGATCAGACCAGTCCTGGATGAGCTTTTGTGTTCTTCTTGCTGAAAAATATTTACATGCTCAACAATCTATAACCCGTTTAATATTTTACTGAAAAGCCCTGTTTGTTATTATTGGGTCCTTTGAGATAATTTAGTGAGATGAAAACACCTGATGCCGTTTTTGAGACATTGTTTTATTATGTAAACAAAGTTTTTGTAAAAGTATCTAAACTGGAAGGCCTAATCTGCTAAGAGAACTGCAATGAAGAGATGAGAACTGTTGATGGAGACTTTTTATTTATTTTTTCCGTAATCCAACAAATGAACAGAAACTTCACCCTTGTGCTCCTTTCTGGTATTTCGTTTTACCTCTTTCCCTTCCTCTCATCTGCCGATTTTTCCCCTGTGCTCTGACACAGATTGAAGACGAAATAGCCTGCTGGTACGAGCTAGCGCTGTAGCTGTGTCTCCTAGGCAAAGTGCAGAGTGAGATAAAGTGAGATAAACAGGTGAATATATTTACACTGCAGACATTAGTTTTTATGTTGTATCCAGGCTCGTCGTTTTTTCCCATCGGTAGCTGCAGTGGTGTGTTTTAAGCCCCAAAGGGCTGCGCATATTTTAATAACGTTCTGAGATTGACACATTCAGGCAGGTTTTAATTCTGATTTCAGGAGGCTTTTTTCCCATGTGATGATGTCATTGGTTGTCAAAGCCAAGTCTCTAGGGAGCCTGTACTCTGAACATTGTTCTCCCTCAGTGGTCCCTCTTATTTTCATTCTGTTTTCTCTCTCTTCCTTTGACTATTTTCCCTTCATCTTTAGCATTCATCTCTTTTTCAGCTCGGTTTCAGCACTTCTAAAGAATATTCAAGCCCTCTGCTTTCTGGGTTTATCCATTTCATCTGTCCTTCTCTTTTTGAGTTTATTTTATGCTTATTGTTGCCATCTATTAATACACCAATGTCTCTGAACTCTCATTGCCACTAGTCTCTCTGCAACCTTCATAGATCAGCCTTACACGAAAAACCAGTTCTTATCCGAACAGTAATATAGAACTCGACGTCTTTCGTTAATATTGACATCTAAAAATGTCACACGTTATTTATAGCTCCTAAATGTCAGGGTTTCTGGTTTACATTGTTTTTTGTCATTCTAAAACCAGTGTGTCACTGGGCTGTGAAATATGGTGAGCGTCACTTATGAAGGAGTCTTCAGAACGTCTCCAGACATTTGGGAGGAATCTCAAATCCCTTGCATGAATTTCAGATCCTGGATGTTGCTGGGATTTTAAACATGTTCAGAAATCTTGCAAAACAAACAAACTCTGAAGATAGATTGAGTTGTCACATGCATCTGGAACCACTTTTAATTTACGTGAGTTTGAAAATATGAATAATTACACTCAACATTATTCCTGTGAAAAAAAGGCTAATTTAATAGGTATAAACTGAAAAAAATAAATTGGGACATAACTTAGACATTGTATTGTGACAAGAAATGTTGTCTCATTGTACCAGTTTTACCAGATTGTCACAATTTATCAACTCTTTTTGACAAAAAAATAAAAGTATGGAAATGTGATTTCAGCTATAAATTTATTTTATAACAGTTATGCGTCTCCAACTGGTCACCAGTGGCCCCGGCCTAATGACATATGGGCCAAAAATGAATTTAGAAACCTCCGCTAATCTTTTGGTGTTTTTAAAGGTGTGGGACACTCGTTTAACTTTAACATTTGCAGTGGTCTCTTTTAGGAATGAGTGCCTTCTAAGTCAAACTCCAGGGAAATGAGATGCTCAGTTGTGCTTGTTTCAGGAACTAGAAGCGAGCCTCATCAGAGGAAAGCTTAACAGGGCTGGATTTGGACTCTTTTGTTCTGATATTTTGTCATTTCTCTTCCAATTGGATAACAGCAATGCAACTCTACCACTGACCCTGTTTGCTCTTCAATGTTGATGTTTTATCTCCACAAATAACACAAGCCTGAAGGAGTTCTGCAATGTGGTGGAGTTGCTAACGCTAACAGTTAGCTTTTACTAGGCCAAGATGTTCTCTGTTGATTCCTGGACGCTAAACCAACAACAGCCTTCCCCGCCGCGAGTCAAGATGGTTGAGTCCATGAATGTTAAGTGAGTGTGACGTATCTGCCAGGCTTTTCATATCCTAGAGTTTCACCATCTATTATCTATAGGTGTAGGAGACTGTTTTCATGTCCAGCCTGCATGAAAAACTGATTTGTAACCGATTAAAGTCAGAAACAATAATAAAAACATGTGTTTCAGTGTTCCACATTTTTAACAGAAGAACATTTGCTAATTATTAATTTTCAACCAGAAAGGTGAATAAGAAGCACTCATGGGCATCTGTCTATGTAGCTGAACATATAAAAAGATTTTGTGCATGCGTGGGTTCATGTTCTTGTTCCATCACTCCAGCAGACATTCTCAACCATAGCAGTGAAACGTGCATGCATGCGTGCGTCAGGAGTACAGCTGTAGATGTCAAATTGCAGTGCATGCTTGGCGTACGCTCTTGTATCTGTGGTGTTGATGAGAGGTGGAGTTCTGGTGGAGGTAAATGTCACGTTAGTAACATCAACTTTGGTAACCTGGAAGCTGCAGTTGGCCTACTTTTCCTGAAATTTGAATGCATTATTTGACTAAGTAAGTCACCATGTAGCCTTTAAATCATTGTGCTTTCTCTATGTAGCAGCTTTATGCTTGACCTGTTTTTAAAAGCTTTTAGCTAAAAATACTGTTGGAGAATAAAGCCTCAAAATATTAGTCTTATAAAAGATCCACGAGTTATTTAATCGCACTCTAACCCTATTCAACATCATATTTTACTCTTTAGGCTATTTGTTGTGGTCAACCATGAAGAATTTGGTTAGCTAATGAATTATACATTTAAACATAGTTTCTGCTTGTAAATGTTTAGTCATTTAGCAACTAGAATTCCATTCAGCCTTTTATTTCTGCTGGTTTTGATGTCTGTTTAAATCGCTTCCATCTGTTGTTGAGCTTTTCCAGTACGTTTAACAAGGAGGACATGGTTGTTGCCGTCTCCAGCTGTTTGTCAGCTCGATGGGGTGAGATTCCGGGTCTTCCAGCTGTCAAAATCAACTTTCATAACACAAAGAGTGAGATTGTCGAGCAGCTGAAGTTTTGTCCCATCTCTCATTCTCTCACGAAAACAAAAGCACAGCCTACCATGAATAAAACAAAATCCTACATGAATATTTTCTAGTGCATACTCCACATTGATTTTTACATTACAACCATAGATTATTATGCACAAATTACACATTTCCATCCACTGGCTCAAGAACACACAGTGACTCATGCCCAAGCATGGGCACATGATGCCAGGGCCTTATCTGGGAGGCTGGCCCATTCTGCTGAGGAGCAACAATGATTTCATTATATTGCTGAAATAATTAGATCAAAGGTCACTGGGATACTGTGTATGTGAATGAATAAGAGACTCGGAGATAAAAGGAAAAGATATTTTTAAATTCCTATTTCTATTTACAGCATGGATTAGTAATAGAGTTGGGATGCATGTGTGAACAGGTGGATTAGTTGACAAGCAACACTTACTGGTAATCACCTGATCTTGGTGTGTGTAGTCATCCTGGTGTCAGTTTTCTAAAGCGAAGCATGTTGAGAACAACTCTGTCATTTTCTTTACTGTTAATAGTTGTTAATAACTTTTATTTTATGTATTTTTTTTAATATATCCAGGGTATGCATGCCTGTACTACTCCTAGCATCACACTAGTGAGTTTGGTCCCTGTTAAAGGTGCAGTATGTAAGAGTATAGTGACAATTTTACAGTTGGAAAATTCCAAAAGAGTAATGTTTCAGTCGTTTTGGAATGCAGGTTATACTGAAACATGTTGCATATCCAGCTGGCTGCGGGCATTGTCAGTTTTTTTCTCCTTTATAAACAAAGAAAGGAGGGACGTAACTCCTGTTTACCATCAGCGAGTGTGGGGGTGCCATGTCTCCTGCAAGCTAATACTGCAGCACCGACAATTGTAATTTAACTACGGTCTTTAAAGTGGTTGCAGTAAACAAATTTTACCACAGAATGTCAATTTTACTTCATTACTACATAATGCATAAGTGTTTTATTTCTAGATTACAACCCCACTATGTTCTACATAATGTATTAAAGGTCTTGTTCACTGACAAACTGTGTATTATGTGTTATTGAAATACAGTTGGTCTCTGAGTCGCATACGCATATGCTGAACGTGAAAACCTCCATTGCCTGCATTAGCAGCATATAGGAAACGGACAGGAAATCGATCATGTCCAATAACGCCAGTCTCTTCTACATTCCTTGACTAGTGATCACTGAAGGCAGTGATGATTTAGCGGTCAGAAGAGAGCAGCGCACGTCTCAAAGAGTAGAAGCTAACCACAACAAAAAGCTGCAGAGTTGTTTAAAATGGTTGCAGTAACCAAATTTTACTACAGGATGTCATTTTAACTTCATTTCTACATAATGCACCTTTAAAATATGTAGCGTTTTTAAACTGTTTTTCTCTTTAAAGGAGGAGGAGATGTTTCGACCCAACATGTTCTTCCTTTTATTACTTCCTCCCATCATCTTTGAGTCTGGGTACTCTTTGCACAAGGTATGACTGACTCTGATTTAACTTACCCCCAAATTCCACTACCTCCACTCCGCTCCGCTCCGGTCCGCCCCCGCCTTCCGCAGCCGCTCACTTCCGAACTCAATTTTTACTGCTACCCGCTCTACAACGGCTCCGCTCCGGTGCGGAGACCTGAGGGGGGCAAACAAGCATGCGCAGGACTTTCGATATCTTGCGATACAGTCCGAGCAATAAACGCGGAAGTTAGATCCAAACACCCGTTGTGTGGGAGAAGCATCGGCATGAGCTGTTAAATCTGCCCATCATTTGTGTTGAGAGATCAGCAGTGTTTGGATCAACAAAGTGTGACTACTTTGATAGTAGAAACTGTATTTATGGCTTATTTTTGTGCATTTAAACTTCAGCCGCCACTGATAGTTGTTAAAAGTTGTTAAACCTGTGCATATGAAACAAAAAACGCCTTTTGTTTATCGATTTATTGTGAAAAATGGAAATTGTGCTTGCTCCTTTTCCTGTTGGGCCGTTGCGATTTTTGTCCATTTACTGCGGAGGTGCTCCGGCGTCCGGCAAAAATAGGATCGATTCTATTTTTGCCGGACGCCGGAACAGAGGGCGGCGCACGGCGCCGCACTGCCGGAGCACGGCCGCAGTAGTGGAATTGCTCTGATTGACTAGAACGGGACCGATTTTGCTCCGGCGTTCGTGTCGGAGCGGAGCGGAGCGCAGTGGAGCGGAGGTAGTGGAATTTGGGGGTTAGGGTCACATTCTCAAGATCTTTAGTTAATATGTAAACATTTTTTATTACAATTAAGATATAGAGGTCAAAGCATGGATAGTTTTGTGATTGCAAATGTTCCTATTTTAAAATGTTTATTTTTGAATAGATTTTTCTACAGCCTTGTTTTTTTTATAATAAAAAATTACACTTGTGTGTTGAAAGGTGTCTATGTAATCCTTGGGTGTAGCCAACAGGTCTGAAAGGAGAAGGCGTTCCGTAATCACTTTAAACACACAGTTTGTTGGTTCAGCAGGGCGTCACATCTGTGGTTGCAGTAGAAGCCAGATTATATTGAAGTCTATAATAAAGCAACGTTATCACTCACTCTTCAGTTATACTAGTGGGATTGGCACATTTGATGATTGAGTGGTTGAAGCCTGATTGGGGAACTTGAAGCTTCAAGTCTGTAATCGCAGACAAGTCTAATAAAACACGAGACCCCTTGTGTTATACACCTCTTCTATCATACGTTTTCTTTCTGATGGCATGCTGTTGATCTCATGAGTACTTGAACTATGCGTGTTTGTTTGTTTGTTTGTTTTTAGGGTAACTTCTTCCAGAACATTGGTTCCATCACTCTGTTTGCCGTAATCGGTACAGCCATCTCTGCCTTCATAGTCGGGGGAGGGATCTACTTCCTTGGCCAGGTGAGGAGTCTGGGTTTCAGTGAAATATGTATATTTTGTTTTTCTTTGCTCTTCTAAAACAGAATCTTATCCCAGATCATCAAAGACTCACAGAAATGTACAAACACCAAAACTGTCACAGTGGTACGTTTCAGAGCTTGTGTGATTCCTAACCTTTGTTTTGTTTCTAGGCTGATGTGATCTATAAGATGACCATGACTGACAGGTGAGTCTTCTAGTCTAACCACTATTTGTGAACCAGAGGTGTCTTGCTCAAACAGAAAATGACTCCACGCCCTTGTGTTTCCAGGAGATCCTCCTTATCCGTTTTAGGTTAGTCACATTCCTCACCAAAGAGGAAATGTTTTCAAGGCCATTTGTCAGTCTGTGTGTGTTTTATTAAAGGATTATTCCAAACATTTTAATAACATTTGAGGTGTAATTAAGGACTAAGAATGAGCTTATTGAATTTCTGTAGGTTCCATTACAGTCCTGGATCTGTGTGCAAATGTCTGCCCACACAGACCTCCGGCATTTTTCTGTTTGCTCAACTCGTGTTTTTCTACCACTTCACTCTCTACAATAATTACATCTAAACCTCACCTTGTTTTCTCATTATAATTTGGAATCCAATTAGTTTTAGAGTAAATCCATCTTCCTTACTTTCCTAACAACATTCATCTTTAGTAAGAGCACAAATACGCAGAAGTAGCTGGACGAGTTTGGTGCATGCTTGTTGGTTAGCGGTGACCTCTTTTCCTGCAGTTATTTGGTTTGAAATATCTTGACGCCTGTAAAAGTTTCACTTCTGAGCTGTTGTTTTTCTCACTTCTTCACTTCAGCTTCGCCTTTGGTTCTCTGATCTCAGCAGTGGATCCTGTAGCTACCATCGCCATATTTAATGCTCTTAACGTGGATCCAGTCCTCAACATGCTGGTGTTTGGTGAGAGTATCCTCAATGATGCAGTCTCCATTGTCCTCACCAAGTAAGAACTCACTCGTAGGTTGCACATTTAACCCTGCCTGGTTGGCCTATTTGATTGGTGTGCACGTGCTGTTGATTTACGTGGGCCTGATGACAATATGCAAAGAGTAATGTATAAAAAAGTCAAATGAACTGAGTCATTGTGGGGAAAATATGACCTGTTCAGCTGCTTATCTTGGAGTCTAAGGTAAATGAACTCTCTGAAGCAACACTGTCAAAGGTTGTGATAATGGGATTAGCAGAAGGAAGTGGAAAAAAATAAATTCAAGTCATACATTTGAGTAGACGATGTCTGTAAAGAGCATTAGAGGTCATGCAAATATAAAATAATTAAAGAAAGCATCTAAATCCTCCTACAAGCAGATCTCCTAGACCTTGTTTTACAGAATTCTCTTATGCATGCATATCGTTTGTAGAAGTTATAAAATTAAAGTTAATAGAAGAAAATTATTGATAGAATCACTGTAGTGTATAGCAAGACACATTACGTTGTAGGTGTTTACATTGATTTTTATATTTTTGATCAGATCATTAAACATTCTTGCCAGATTTAAATTTTTTAATTAGATTTTCCAGAAAAATAGAACAGATTTTATAAAATGTTTGACCCAAGATAATAATAGAAATGCTCTATGTCCTCTTGAGAAGGAAACCTTGTCAAGAAGGGGCCTTAGATATTTTTGATAAAAGAAGGGTAAAAGGCATCTCCATGGTAACCAGCACGGTCTTTCACAGCCTGTGTTCATATAGTGGGTTTTTATTTTTCCTATGAGCACCTGTGGCTCCTCTCGGTGGTTAGAGCGTGGCTGGTGACAGGAAAGTGTAGCCGTTTCTTTCAGCTTTGTAAGACACAATCTATAAGTTTGGCATGCAAGACTTAAAGTCATCACTGCTTAAACTTTTCAGGACCTGTTATGTAACTAATATGAAAGCAGAGAAGGTTCCTGGTGGTACACATGCATGCTGAGTTGACCTCACACATGTCACACTTGTTAATAGCACTTTACTTTTCTGTAAAGTTTAATATTTCAAACTATTCCCACTTGTTTTATTAACACTGACATGAGCAGGAGTGTTTTTATTATTATTATTTAGGCACTGAAATGAAACCTTTCCATCACAGTGCCAGCACTTTTCTGACACGAAGTCAAAGCCTTGAAAGACGAGCCACTCTAAGGCAGAATTCACCTGAAGTTTCAGGCTTTGTCTGTCTAGCTTTTCATTCACTGAGTCAGATGACATCTTGCAATTCTCAAATTAAATTGTGAGTCTCTTGCCTCCACTTGCGTTAGAAAAGTGTTAAAATGCATTATTTTTTTTAAGCAGCGGCCGTCCCAGCCTCTGAAAAAGTGGTGCGGCTGATTTCCTGAGCGATTGTCACCATGGTCACCACCAGTAGGTGTGGCACATCTGTGAGTCATGCCTCCTGAGACAGGGCAGATTATCATAATCTGGACAATGCACTGAACTCCAGCCTGATTAGATAAAAGTAATATTCATTGCACGGTTAACCTTAATGCTCTATCCTTACTCTACAGCCTCTGTCTGCAGTGCTACGATAATGTCCTTTTTAAAGCTAAGATTTATTCTTGCACCATACGACGAAATGTATTTAGTTTATTGTCTGACTTTGTCGGGACTTAATCTGGTTTTTTTATTTTTTTTATCTGGGGTTATTTATCTTCCTCAGTGCAGTTGACCCTTGACTTACCCGGAACCTCATGGGCCACTTTAGTTGTTCTTACCCTTTGCACCATGCTTGTGTCACAATAACGCAGACAGCAGGATAGAAACTGTTTCAGCATTACAATCATCCCTCACACACACCCTGACAAATCTACCATCTCATCTCCTAAACATCAGCCGCTTGAATGTTGATGCCGGGAATGTTCTTCATAATTATTAGCGGCACCAGGAAATTGGTTTTCTGGAGCGCTTTCCTTTCTAAAGATTCTCATGTGTCACCAAACACTGTCACCTGTTCACCGTTTGTCTTCACAACTGTGAAACTGTTTGCGCCGTATCAGCGTACACACACCGAAACCCGTCAGTCAGGTTTCACCGACCAGGGGGAAAAACACCTGATGGAAACAGGCAGGCTGTTTGTAGTGGCTGATGTCATTCTGTATTCTGTTTTATCTACTTACGCCTGACTGTTAGTTAATTGTGTATAGTGATCCGAAGGAGCTGCACGGCCTCTTGGAGTGAATGAGGGGATGAATAATAGATAAAATGAACAGGCTTGGCAGTTTGTTGTTAGCACCTCACCAAGTGATCCTCTTCAGTTAGGTACTGGACAGTTTGACCTGCCAACACACAGCTAATAATTTTATTTAGGGATTAAATAACAGATTATTAAATACTCCTGCTGTTTGTGTTTTGTAATAAAAATCTGATTTAGTCATAAAACTATCATTTTTTTATGAAAATGGAATACGTCTTATAATTTTTTTTATTGATCGTAACTTTTACTGCATGTCTGGTTCTACGTTGTCTTTAAAAAAAGCTCTTAATATGGACAATAAAAGCAAATTAAAAAGCCTCGGATAAAACTGCCTAATTTTCTGCTTCAGGAGATCAGTGAAGGGATAATACGAAATAATCTTTCTCTGTTTAGCCAACATGATGGTGAGATTACACACACACACACACACACACACACACACACACACACACACACACACACCCTGGGCTGTTCTCTTGTGCTCTCAGTTGTAGAGCTTTTCTGCCCTCTATTGTCTGAAGCAGCTGTTACAACACATTATTTGCAGTTGGGATTTTTTAACCAGCTCCCATTTCTCCTCCTTGCAGCACAGCAGAGGGGTTTGCTTCCCGCTCTGAAAACTCCACAGTAACCGGATGGGAGACCTTCATACAAGCCCTGGGATATTTTCTTAAAATGTTCTTCGGCTCTGCTGCCCTGGGAACCCTGACTGGACTCATTTCTGCTCTTGTATCCCGACTCATTAGTGATTTTATGCATGCTTGTACTTTGTGTTGTGCTTTCAAGTCCTTAACTCACTGATTAGTTTCTGAAGCACTTTGACCTGAGGAAGACTCCATCACTGGAGTTTGGTATGATGATAATCTTTGCATACCTTCCCTACGGCTTGGCAGAGGGAATCAAACTCTCCGGTTGGTGCAAACACACACACACACACACACACACACACACACACACACACACACACACACACACACACACAAACACCTGTACACAATGTGGTGTGTTTACCAATACCGACTTTCACCTGTTTGTCTCCTCTGACAGGAATAATGTCCATCCTGTTTGCGGGGATTGCCATGTCCCACTACACCCATCACAATCTTTCTCCCATCACCCAGATCCTAATGCAGCAGACTCTACGAACTGTAGCCTTCATGTGTGGTGAGTAATTTCCTGCTCTGTTTTCTCATTTCCTGTTTTCATTTTACACGTTTTCGACATAATTTTTTACACTCTCCCTTCAGAGACATGTGTGTTTGCCTTTCTCGGGCTCTCCATCTTCAGCTTCCCACACAACTTTGAAATCTCCTTTGTCATCTGGTGTATAGTAAGATTGTATTTCTGTGTGATCACACAAAGCTCCTGCGTTAACCCGTGTGATGTTACGCCTGATTGCTGTCCCTAACCCTCATCAGGTCCTGGTCCTTCTTGGCCGAGCGGTGAATATCTTCCCCTTGTCGTTCCTGCTGAACTTCTTCAGAGACCACAAGATCACACCCAAAATGATGTTTATCATGTGGTTTAGTGGTAAGATGACATAATAGCCCTTTCAGCTAATACTATGCATGCCTCACAGCCTGAGAAATGGTTTCAACAGTAACTGGAACCAGTCCGCACCTCCTAGCCCAAACGCTTCAAGTTCAGTATTAATTTGATTCGATTTGGAAAGTGTTGGTCTCCTCACTACATCTGGATCACATGCTAAAAAAAACTAGCAGGTCTTAAAATAATGTCTTTTATACTTTTTCTGCTCAAATCCTGAGAAAACTTAAATCTTCTAACCCAATCCACCGATATCTAACTAAAAAAATTTAAATACCCAGTTCCTGATCCCCCACACACCAAAACTCATTTTACTGCTCAAATATCTTGTGGTAAAAACAATAGACCCCACCCCTTCATGTAAAAGAAACTTGGAGATCTGACTAAAATGATTGCAAACTTCCACATTTCATCAATAAATGTGTTATTTTGTTGACGGGAAGTTTTTATCGATGCATTTAGTCTTTTCTCCTCTCTAGGCTTACGAGGGGCCATTCCCTACGCTTTGAGCCTTCATTTGGGCCTTGAGCCCATTGAGAAGCGTCAGCTAATCGGCACCACCACCATCATCATCGTGCTCTTTACCATCCTCTTCCTCGGGGGAGGGACAATGCCGCTAATCCGCATCATGGACATCGAGGAAAACAAGTCACGGCGTAAGAACAAGAAGGATGTCAACCTCAGCAAGACACAGAAGATGGTAATGAATGATGTCATCTAAATAAAAGAAATTGTTTTATTTCATTTTATTCTGATAACAAATGCAAACACTTGATCTGTAGAGTGTTGTCTGTGCTGATGCTGGCCGAGGCATCCTCTCATCTGCCATCCGGCTCTTGCTGAAAAGAACATCAAAGGCTTGATTGTGGTTTGCTAAAAGGAACGGAGTCAGCAGAGAGCAAAGCACTCTCTCTGCACAGATGCACTCTTAACAACCGGCGTCGATACAATTTCCCGACTCTGGAAGACGGGCTATTGTGCTTAATATTTCAGTTACGTCTGCTTAAGATGAGGGGTTATTCATCATAGCTACAGTGTTTATCTACCAATCCTTTATTTGTTTGTGTGATCCTCACTTCGCTCAGCTGCGTGTCACCCAGGCTCTGTGTTCTGGGAGTTTTAGTTTCATCTCTGACCTTTTCGATCTCGTCATCTTTCCTCTGCAGGGTAATACCATTGAGCCAGAGCACCTATCAGAGCTGACAGAAGAGGAGTACGAAGCTCACATCTACCAGAGACAAGATCTGAAGGGCTTCATGTGGCTCGATGCTAAATATCTTAACCCCTTCTTCACGCGAAGACTCACCCAAGAGGTGAGAGAGCGACAAAGGAGACAACCTCTCTGCTCAATAATAATCTGATTCTTGGTTACCTGTCATTCTGCTTTACTTCCACTCACAACACAGCAGCTACTCAGTAAATACTCATTTGATGATGCAAGTTCATGTTTAGTGAGGATTTCAATATCATCCACATTAGTTTTTGACATTAGTTTCACCACTTGTTTCCAGAAAAATATATTTTATTCTGAAAATTAATTCAATTTGCTTTTAATTGAAAGGTTATTCTGAGTCCTAATTAAGCTATAATGTCTTACCTTCTGCACATAAATGACCAGGATTGATTGAATTAAAGAAAAAAAAACCTTTCTACGTTAAACATATTATTAACCAGGTTGGATTCGGCTTCTTCTCTGCCTGGTATTTAAAAAAATATTTGATTATTTTAATCATTGTTGTTTTCAGTTGTGCATTTTTGTTTATTTTAACAATAGAAAACAGTATTATTTATTTACTTTTTATAAAACCACAGACAAAACGCAAACCTCTTTGCATAAAATAACCAATTTAGCAGCAAAAGCCACATTTTCTAAAACACAACAGCCATTGTGCCCAAAAAGACAAAAATAAACTGTTTTATTTCTTAAAACTACTACTAAATACTACTAAAAATATTCTAAATGTATAGTTTTTTTTTTGGTTTTTTTTTTTGTGGCTTAGTGTCTGAAAATAAATATGAATTGAAGAAAATTGGTGCAATTTTTACCTGTAATTGAGTTTCATTCAGACTTTGAATGCAACTTCTTTATGATTTAATAGACCTTTAATGTGTCGGGCCTCGTGTGTTTTCGCAGCAGAACTGTGGCTGGTTTTGAAGCTCTGCTGATGTGTTCAAAGTTGTCCGTTTTCTAAATGAGGACAGTAAGTTTTACAGATGAGACGATTTTTATTTTAAAGCTCCTGAAAGGTTTGCTGAGTCACTGTTTACGTTTATTTGTTGCTCCTCTGCTTCTGTCCTCTCGCCTGATGTGTGTGTTGAGGTCTATCAGTGAACAGGTGTCAGTCACCCTACACACACACACACACACACACACACACACACACACACACACACACACACACACACACACACACACACACACACACACACACACCTTCAGGAGAAACTGGTAGAATGAAGATAATCTATCTCACTTTTCAAAGGTTCACCAGAGAAACTCTGAAAAAGAAACCAACCTAGTAAATTCTGTTAAGATTTATTTTAACGGGTAACTAAAGGGGATTGACTCTGTGTGCAACATTTAATAAAAGTCAGTATTTATTATAGGTTCATTCCTTTCACAGCCTTGTTATGTACACATTTATATCTCACCATCCTACTATATCAGATCAGCTCCTCTCTAAAGTACAAACTTGCATTATTTTATGTCAGGAGCATCGTTTCAGGGATGTAAAACGGTGGCGGAGTAAATAGCAACCATATTTCTAGTTTTAGTCCTCCACACCTGCAGGATGATCACGTTGAGTGATTACACAAAGTTTCTGTATAAATGACTTTGGCGTTGAACTGCTGCATAAATCAGCCATTTAGTGAAGCACAGATGAAGTTTCAAGCCTTAAACTGACAAACTGTAGCACATGTGATTACATCTCCTCATGCTGTTTTCAAATAGGAGTTTTACTAGAAGCAGGCTGATTAACCAGTAACCGGTTTGATGTAGCTGTTGGCCATATTTATTTATCTTAGTCTAATAATAAAGTCAAAGAAAGAAGGTACATAAAATAATTGCCTGTATTGTTTATTTATTTATTTATTTATTTCATGTTTACATCAGAATACAAGGAATAAGCAGACAATAAATTTTAATCAACATTAGTGTGAAAATAAAAAGAAGCCTTGTCTTGCTGCTCTGAATTCTAAAGATGGTCATCATGGTTGTGTGTGTGTGTGTGTGTGTGTGTGTTTGTGTGTGCGCGCGCGCGTGTGCGTGTGTGTGTGTGTGTGTGCGTGCGTGCGTGTGTTTGTGAGTGTGTCTGTGCACTGTGACCCCCTTGCTGATGTGTACCCTGTGGTCCACAGGACCTGTTACACGGACGCATCCAGATGAAGACGCTGACAAACAAGTGGTATGAGGAAGTTCGCCAGGGCCCGTCTGGGTCTGAGGATGACGAGGATGAAGCAGAACTTCTGTAAACACCTCTGGTCTCTGTGAAGCAACATTCTGGGCTGGATGTTACTGAAGTCACGCTACTGAGCCATCTGGGTGCCTGCTGCGTACTCCTGCACTACTGTGAAATCTGTTTTCCCAGGAAAATTAGATTTAAAACTCAAACTTTGGATTAAAGAATGTTAAAATGTTACATGCTGCAGGAACTCGCTGGTTATCGGTTTGAGCTAAAACGTCTGAGCAGCAGACCGGGTCATCTCCTATTTGAAGGATTTCATCTAAAGGGAAAGCTGCAGATAAACTGTGATGTGACATGTTCTGTTAAACAACTCTAAAGCACCTTTTTCACTCTCTTCCTTCACATTTTTATCTGTCATTGATGGTTGGTTTGTACTAATTTTGTATCTCTGTCAGAGAGAAGCAGCTTTAGGCAGGATTTAAGAAAGGGAGTACTTTGCATCCTTTCTGTTGTTTTAATTCTCTCTGCCTCCAACTTACTTCACTGTGTCTGAACTGGGCCTTCAGGTGTTTCTCCTGTGATTTTTGTTTTTTTCAATCATGGATTTCTACTGAAAATTGGCACAAATGAATGTGGGGAAAACGGTCATGTCATGTCCCGTTAACATTTTCCTTGTTTATTTATTTATTTTTAAAATTTTATGTGTTCATTGTTCGATTTTGTACAGATGCGGTGAATGCAAGATTACTAAGAAATCTATAATAAATCATGTTGACATCATGCGTTCTTTTTTTTTCTAACAATATAAAAAATGGTAGCAGAGGTCAAATTAGGATTTCAGAATAAAAACCCTGCTTTCTAAATAGATTTTAATTAAGACCCTTTTTTAAATAAAAGGCCAACTTGTATCACTCTAATAAGACACAGATCAGTTCAGATCAACTGTAAACCAATTTTTCAGTAAGTCATAACTATTCATTATTCTAGTTTGGCTCTCATTCGTGTTTCATAAGCTGCCTGAACTAATTAGCTGCTAGATTATGTAAAAAGCAAATGGGAGATTATGAAGCTGAGACAGGACTCCGGTCCTCGATGTAATTAAAATACATAAAAGAAGGTCAAGACTAAGTCCTGATGGGTGAAAAAAATCCTAATCAACAGTTTTCTTCTCTGATGTGGAACACCAGACCGCCATGTTCTCTGATCCTCTTGTGGGATCTTATCAGGCACCTTGATGAGGAGGCGTTAAACTGCAGAAGGAGACCATGACATGCTCTCTGACTGTAATTAATGTTGGATCTCAGGGATGACTGGGTCTCTGTAAAGTGAGATGACTCTGAGGGGGTGACTGATATTTTTTGCACAGTGTGCAACATTTGCTATTTATAGTTTACCTCCATAGAGGAGGGAGGGGGTGATGTCACAAAAAATGCTACAGAGGCGAAACTTGAGCAGAACTTTAGCAGATAAAATCATGCTGTTTGTCATAATAACTCCCAGCCACTAGGGGGCGTCTGCTCATAAAGAATGATGATTAGCAGATGAAAGTGGATAACAGCGGAGAAGTATAACCAATTATGAGAAAGCTACAGTCATGATGAACCAGGGGTGACTTACATTGAACTCCATGTGGATGGCCCATATCAGTAAAGTTTACTATGATCCGTCCAGCATCACACATACTTCAGCAAACGTCTGATCTAAAGAATAATTTAGTCATGACCTAAACAATTCCTTTGACACTTTTTCTGTTTAAACTCGCCCCCCATGTTTAATCACATTCTATACTCAGAGGAAACACATGTCATCCCTCATTTTGTTCTACAACTTTTATTCAAAGAGATAAAATGATTAGATTAGATTAGATTAGATTAGATTAGGGTAAAGAGTAAAGAAAGACTGAATGCATCAGATCTTTGATCAAATCTGAAACACAGGTTTTTATGCTGTCACACATAGGTTGTGGTGGTTCACGCACACGCATATGCACATTTTAATGTGTATGTGATGGATTTAGTGTTCGACTCTAAACCTTTTGATGGGATTTAGGAGATTAACGTATCCTGACAAACAGTCTGAAACCAAATGCCACAACACCTGTTAATTCTGCATGTGTATACAGTCGGCTCCCTCCTGATGCTGAGTTTTTATTCCTTTTGCATTAGTTGTTTCTTACTCTCTCGCTCATTCAGAACATGCTTTTGTAACCTGTGTGGATGAACCACATATACAGCAGGATGCTCGTGTCTATTGCTACCTTCATAAAAATGCTCCGCTTCCAAGTTTCACTGTGGATCCTGCAAAAAGTTAATCAGTTTTACAGTCTGTGGTTATTTCAGTAGAAATGTTAAAACTCTGCTGGTCCCTCACCCCTAGATGCACCTGAAGAGCAAAATGTTGCTGCTGCTATGAAATATTCAAACTGATAATTATTCCTTTAAAAAAGTTGTTTTCTTTTCATTTGACTGATTTGATGGTGTTGTTAAACCTTAATGATGTTATATTAATCTGAAGTCCTTGGTGCAAGTAGATTAATAAACGAACATGATCTGTGGGGAATAAGCTGCACAACCAGAGCTGAGATTTGAAAAGATGAAGCCTTGTTGCTGTTTGACTGTTAATGAAGGCTTAGAAAACTCAGAGGTGAGGATTTAAATCAAACATTGTACAGAGAAAAGGTCCATTTCTGAGCACACAGTTAAACCATCGTCCATGGGAGGAACTGTGACACAATCTGAAAATTGTCATGTAAATGAAAATTAGTCAAATAACTGAGCAATTTTCAGATCACTTCATTTTATTTTTCTTATAAAAAGCAGACTCTGCTTTTTCTCTTTGTTTTAGATTCATGTTTGCTCTTTTTTAAATGTTTTTTTTTAACTCTTTTGTTAAACATTTGAGTTGAGAAATCTCCTGAGCTCTCAGATATTCTTTTTGAACTGAAAAATGTCTTCGTTCATTTTTGTTGAGGTCAATGAGCAATAGGGGAGTTGAGCTCTGGACAGGTCCCTGGTCCATCACAGAGGCTTGCTCACACCAAGGGCCCATTGACAAGTCCATTTGATCATTAAACACTTGTTGTGTTGTTGATCTGCAGGTGAAAAATGGTGAAAAAGAACTCGAATGAATGAGAAGATGCAAACTTCAGGAGAAAGCAAATTTCTTGCAGTAAGGCATCAGTGCTGAGCAGCTGCAACACCTGAAACATCTTCAGATCATAACATAAATCCCAGTCATCCTTTAGCTGTCATCAAATGAGAGGTGGGGTTCACCCGGAGAAGAACACACATATTAGATCCTTTTAGAATCACAAAGCACCCCAGCATGCATGTTTTTGAACTGTGACAGGAAACCTATGGCCGCAGATGAAGAGGATAAAAATGGCACTCAGAAAGAGGTCCTACTATGCTGACATGCGTAACCACTGCACCAACTTTCATGTGATCTGACAAACTGCGAGCACTGGACTATGCATTTCTAACATTCAAAGTCACTTTTGATGATCTCATTCCCCTAGAGCATAACATGGTATTGTGAGGTGATTTACGAAATCATTCTTTGATTTAGCAACTAATCCAGGCTGCGAGTGTTCACTTATTCAGAGGCATGAAGAGTCCTGTAGGACGATAAGGGAAGCTGGACCTTGAGGAGAGAACAATGTTGTTGACAATTTGTTATCTGTGTTCAGAGCTGCAGGCTCTGAGCTCCAGCTGATGGGATGAATGTAGGCTGATTTAAAGGGAACACATGCAGTCTCGTGTCTCCTCTTTGACCAGATGTTAAATGGCCAAACTGTACCTAAAACTGACCATTGCTGGACGTTACAGTGTTTAGAAGAAGAGGAAGAAAGCATTTTTTAAATTGCCTTTTGAGATAAAAATCTTGATAAAAATAGATAAAAAGATTTTCAAAAATCAATATAATAAATGGGAGAAAAAATGAATGTGGATATATTAGAGATCACAAGAACAAAATATTATTAAAAATAAATTGGAAGTTATCAGCATGTTTAAAACAAAATCCAACTGATTATTTTCCAGTGGGAGAATATTTTAATTGTGTTCCTATTGAATGGTGTGACTGATTCCCACAGATTCCAGTCTGGTTAAAATACACTTTAAAAAGAAATCTCTCTGCAGCCCCTGCTATTGATCACTGTGTGGTGTGTGACAGTAATATATTCAGAGGAGAGGAGTGTGTTGATGTGTTCATGGTGCAAATGAGAGACAGAAGACCTGGAGTGGACGTCTGAAGGTTGGACCTGCTACTCAGCAGAAAAAGATGTGGCAGCAATGAGAGCAATCAATAAGGGCCTTTACCAGACTAATGGACAATGTTTTGGTGGAACTTACACCATGAAACCAAGCTCACTGCATTTAACTGGACAGTCGTTTAGATGGAGGATCATTAGTTGTGTTTGTGTTGAAACACCAATCTGAGCCTCGTATTGAACTCACCACCACTTGTTGTCCTGTTTGTTTTTCTGGGGTGAGTCAGTTCTTTCCCAGGAATGCTCATTTGAGACTGACTGTTTTACAAATTCAGCTGCGTTGTGCATCAGACCAGAAATGATGGTGGTAATTGTTTGGGTTGCATAGAGACAGTTTCAGAGAAAACTAAAAAAATAAAAATAAAAATCAAAATAACGATCATTAGAGCTGCACTAACAGTAGGAAGAGCAGCAAACTAAAAACAATGAGATATGATGGCCTGAGAAATAGGGGATTTTGCAGAATGTGAGTATGACTGAAGTTTGTTTTATGTGTGTTTCATTTTGGTTTCAGGCCTTTTTGTTCCTGAGTTTTGTTTTGTTCTTGCATCATTTAATCAGCTGTTGCTGCCATGATTGATGCTTTCGTTGCTGTAACGCCTCTAAAATCTGGTGTTTCTATTATTCCACACATACCATTCTTATGATGTACTTATATTGTAACTAACAGCTGACATCATCCCTGCTTATTTATGTTACATATCTCAGTCTGTAGAAAAGATTAAGCTAAAGTGTTTCAGCTAAATTTAAAGTGATAAATGCTAAATGACCCGCACTTGTATAGCGCCTCTCAGAGTAAGGACTCTAAAGCGCTTTACACTACAGTGTGTCATTCATCCATTCACACACACATTCACACACTGATGGTGATGAGCTACAATGCAGCCACAGCTGCCCTGGGGCGCACTGACAGAGGCGAAAGAAAAACAGAAAACAGAAAAAATAACACATTAAATATATTCAACATAAAATTTAAAGTATGACTTCAAAAACATTTACTGTACATTGCAAAAGCCTTTTGTTGTATACTTACTTCAGAGGACTGGTGTATCATCAGCAGCCTGCTTGAACTGCCTATCCACACACACACACACACACACACACACACACACACACACACACACACACACACACACACACACACACACACACCTAATTTCATCTTCACTTTGTATTCAGCAGATTACTGTGCTTGCTGCTGTCTTTGGTGTCTACACACAGCGGAAAATGAAGCTACAAGCATTTTAAAATTCCATCAGGAAAAACCAGTTTCAGATGTTTACAACTGATCAACACTTTTCATCATTTTCTCTTTGACACTGAACTTTTTTCTTTTTTGACGATCTGCTTGGTCTGCTCTTTGTTTAGTTTATTCACAAAGTTATCTGCAAAGTGTTCAGACATTTGTTTAATGTTGTTGTTTTAATCGTTGGATCTCAGATCCACGCCCAGTGGATGGTTTAATTAGAAAAACTGAAGTCAGTTGGAGTGGCTTTGTGTTGATATAACT